TCCCATCAGCAAAGCCGGATACATTTACTAATTTTCTAATTTTTTATAAAATAAAAAATTTGATGTAATACACACAAACTCTCAACCAGCGCACCTATGTAAAATCAGCTGAGTTAAATCTCACCACTGATATTTACACTCCATGCTTTGTTCGGTATCAAACTGTGTCAAATTGACACCGACCAGAGCCAAGCCGTGCAAGACGTCGAATGCATATGACCGGCTCCAAAAAACTCTTTCGAAAATTTGAATACCCATAGATTTGATATTTCTGCCACAGATGTATACATCGATCTATTGAAAAAAAAAAAAACAAAAAAACAAAAAGCGCAGTGAGTGAGAATTAAATTATAATTTGAAAATTCACAACTCACCACTTCCAGAAATTCACCGCAGTGTACGCACTGTCGCCGTTGCTGCGGAAGCTTAGCTATAACTACAGTCATTACATCGCTTAAATCCTTTGCCTCACCCTGCACGGCGTCGTTGAGCTGCGCCAGCAGCAACATATTCAATATGTAGCTGGAAATGTCTGCAAGTAATGGCAAGGGAATGTAGTGATCCAGCATAACGCAGGCGATAAATTGATTGGTGAGATAGACACAAAATATATTCTCCAGCAATATCAGCTTCTCAAACCAGCCGAAATGCGTCATGTAGCTTGCAAACATTTTCTCCGTTTGACTCAGCAAATCGATGGCATTGCAAAGTGCGTCCTTTTTGTCCTTGCAGTCTGTAGCGCACTTAGTTTCATATTCGTACTTCGCTTCACTTCTCCTAATGAATTTGGTCAAATCCTTTTGGAACTTCAAGAGTCTTAAGTACATTAAATAGTTGCCGACATAAGTGAGCTCGTATATGCGGTATCCGAAAAAATTAGTCAACCAATCCATTCCCGTTGTCATTATGATGAATAATAATTTTAACAGTAATAAGCACTTTATATGCGACGGCACTGCTGCACCCTGACCGGTGAGTACCGGAACACTTCGCTGCATTTCGATGAGTTGATTGAAGAATTGTCTAAGAAATCGGTTGGTTTTTCGACGCTTGAAGCAATACAAAATTGTAGTGCAGATGACGAGCCTGCACACAAACAATAGTATGCCGTATAATATGCTAACGAGCTGTATCGGTGTTTGACCCCTTGCGGCTTCATGGTATGTGGCAATAAAAAACACAATCAACCAAATTGCAAATAATGCAAACACGATTAAGCCCAATAACAACACGTAGTGCATTAGGCGCCTCACGCAAGTCCTAGCAGGCGTTTGGAGCTCCATTCGCTGCTTGGGTTTGTTGTACATCAGATTGGTCGGCCCCAACCAACGCGCGAGTTGGTAGTAAAACCAGGCACAGCGGACAAACATATTCACCGAATTCTCCGACGTTGGAAGTAGCTTGTTCGGCAACAAAATGTTAAATGGATTAACGCAAATGCAAATGAAATATTTCTCAAAACGTGGATGAAGGTCTACTTTATTCTACGTTTAACTTGTTGTTGTTGTAATTAGTGTGAATTTGGAAATTAAGCAAACGAGTGGAAGAAGAAGAAGTTCGAATTGGAGTGATTTGTTGTAGTTAGAGTGAATGTGGAAATTAATCAAACGAGTCGAAGAGGAAGGAGCTCGAACGAAGCGTCCCATTTTTACCACTACTTGATGAGCTTATCAAAAGCCATTACATTTAACTACTACTATTTTATATGCATACCAGAACTGTTATTATTTACTACTATATTTTGTATCTTGATGCGCGTGCTACTACTATTTTATAGCTGTGTCTTAAGCCTTTACTATTAGTTCTATAATTTCCCACTCAAAACAAAACCAGCTACTATTTGCCAGACCAAACTGTAAAAGTCACTCATCAGTTCCATTCTGTTACATGGTGATGACATCGTAGGAGGAACGAATGGCTCGTTACTGCGTTGATTTGACGCTTGAATAGCGTAGACGGTGCTTACACCAATGAAGAGGATAAGAGAAGTGTCAAAGAGCCGGCTTGGCACAGCAATAGCTTCTAAATAAACATGAAATTATATTCGTGAAATTGGAACTGGAAATAAAACTTATTCCGATTCCAAGGATACAAGCACTAATTGAGTGAAAACTTTGTACAATTAACTGATTGTAACAGTAAATTCCAGTGGAATTCTACCTGATTATCTTCGCAAATATTGATGATTGGGCAATTGTGGAGTCCGCCATCAACAAAAAATCTAATGCGATTGGAATGGACGGAGTTCATCCTAATTTTTAAATATATGCTTCCTAAAATTTTACCTTATATACGAGGTATGATAACTAAGTAATAAGACTGATTGCATAAAAACCGTGTTTTTAAAAATTATTCTGCAACTCTGCCATCTCCTCTAAAGTAAATAATATCGTTGGACACCTATGCAACGATTCCAGCGCGTTTTCCATGCTTCGTAACATTTCTGGAACGTTTCGACTGATATGTTTGCGAGTACCCTTGTCAAGGGCGCCTGGATATCTTAAATCGACTCAAATTAGGTTACTTTGACCAACTTTTTTTTTTCTAGGGGACAAAGAAAAGTCACAAAGTGGTATATCGGTCAAATAAGGTGGTTGTTGCAACGAGGCGATACCTTTAGAGGCCAATTACTGGGACTCGCTGAAGGCGGTGTGCACGGCGCGTTGTCGTGATGAGGGATCCAGTTACGAGTGATGTCTGGGCGCACTCTGTTGACGACACTCAACACGACAGAATAGGCGAACTAATAAGCTAGAGCGATGGCAACTATATCAATGGAGAGGCGAAAGATGCCGGGAGAAGAAAAAGAGAATTTCAAGGGCACAGGGTTACCACAATCATGGTAATATAATAATTCTCATTACTTAATTGTCACACTTCGTATGCCTTAAATACCAATTTAACCATGTCTGTTTTACCTCAAAGTTGGAAATCGGCAAAATCCATACCAATTAAGAAGCCTAACGGAAACTTCGGGACTATCGCAATACCACTCTTCTGATCTAAAGTACTTGGATGCATCCTTGGTAGAAACATGTTGGTGATTTGGTACCAATCGGATGACATCAGGCGAAAAAATCGAGTAACGTCATTAACATTTTTGGATCATTTCAAAATTTTTGGCACTGTGAACAACGAACTGCTAGCATTGAAACTTAGCATACTTCTAAATCCTAGTAAATCGCAGTGCTTTGTCATTTACAAGCAGTTTGTCAAGCTCGCAGGCTGCAGTGAAGTAAAACTGAATACATCTGTTTTTAAGTTCGTGGATATTGCCAGAAGTCCGGAATTATCTTCAATAGAACTTTGTCTTGGAATAACCAACATTTTTGTTACCGACCTTACTGTATGCATGGGAACTGTTTGGCAGCTGTGACAGTCTCTGTTGTAGTAAACTCAATGTCCTTTGCAATAACATTGTAAGATACGTATATGGTGTAAACAATCGTGAGCACATAACTGTTTTTGTATTAAAATTATTTTCCATAATTTCCATAATGTTACTTGAGAAGCGAGTTCAATTCCCTAGATCTACCCGTTGCCTGGTATAAGAACGTCAGCTCTTTGATTTTGCTTTTCCTCTTTGGAACCCTCTGCCATAAAGGCTCAAAGACCTTCGAAGTACGTTACGCTTTAGAAACGAACTGCTACATCACTTTGAACAATCAATTAATCTCTAATCTGCACGCTCATTCTTATAATTCAAACCCTGAATAAATAATAAATAAATAAATAAATAAATAAATAAATAAATAAATAAATAAATATTAATAATAATAAATTGGAAAATAAATAATTAATGTAACACATAAATAAACAAATTATTAAATAAATAAATAAATTAAAAATACAAAAATAAATATTGAAATAAATAAACAAAAAATTAAATAATTAAATGAAAAAACAAATAAAATAGTAAATAAATAAATACATAATAAAATATAGCCTATTTGGGGTATTTGAACTGCCAACAAGTTCTCTGCAGTAGCTGGGGACTAAAAGCCAATTTTGTAATATAGATGTATGCGGCCGTTATCAGACCGATTCTAATAAAACCATGGTTAGATGTGCAGCCTTGAAGAAACAGTATACTAAGATTCAGTCGCAAATTGCAGCAAGCTCTGCGAACAGACTTGTGGAATGGGACTGTTGGAACAAAAATTGATTTGTACATAGTGAGAAAATCAATTAGCTCATAACATTTTATAGTCTAACTAAATCCAAGTTTAGATTTCATTCAATTTAAGGATATCCTCTAGACTGTAGAAGAGGTTTTGTGGAAAAAGATGCCACGATCTCATCTACACGGATCGACTGAAAATTGCTTGAGGTGGAGGAGAGCTGCTATTCTCTAAAGGTCTGATCCAAGCGGAAACACCAGGTATAATTGAAGAATTTTAATGAAGAACAACGGGAGGACCAATGATACATTAATTCGTCGTCAATAATGGTAAATAGAGTCCAAGCTCGCTGGAAACTTAAGTCGTCATCTCCTTAATATGGATTCCGGGGCCATAGTAACACAGTAACAAAAAATCCTATTCGCTGGCCAAGTCGAGAGCACCCCTTGACGAATCTGAAGTGGAATTAATACCATCTTCGTTACAAACAATCAGGAGAAGCTTCAGATCAGCAGGTCTATGAAAAATAGATTGAGAACTATGGCCACAACAACCGGGTGCTGGCCTTTCAGAGCAAATGCAGTAAAAACGGAGGGTTTCAAGCCTTGAATGGCTATTCACAAAAAGCACACTGGATATAAGTAGTTTCATTGAGAGCACCAGATGGTTTGAACGTAACCATGAAGGCAGGTAGCATATTGCCAAGGTTCCTAGGGTAGTGCATTTAGCGCAATTTTGTCTGATACCTCAGAATTTGTCATGCTGAGTTTTTACCTTTCTACTTAGCTAGGCGTTTGAAGAGAATTCTAGTTGGCGCCGAGATTACGGTCCACTTTTTACATTTATTTAGCGAAATCACATCAAATACAATTTCTCTTTCATTATTTAGTATTCCATATTATTAATTCTACATGAATAAATCGGCGAGTTGTCCATATCGAATTGTGTCATATTTATACCCATTAATATGAAATGAGAAAATAACTGTACCACATAGAGTTTTGACCATTTGACACTTTGAAATATATTAAATATGTTGGTTTGCACATTTCGGCCACAAAAGTGCATATCAATCTGAAATTGGATTTTATTTGACTAGAAATTTATAAATTAGTAAACCAAATACTACCAATTTCAGCAAATCGCCACAGTGTGTGCACGTGGAACGCCTTTTGGATAGCTCAGCGACAACCGATATCAAAATATGATTTAATTTTTCTTCCTCTGCGGCGAACCAATCATGCAGCGCTGCCATATAGAGCATGTTCACTAAGCACATGCAAGCGTTTGGTAGCGGCAAACCGTAGAATTCTTTCACATAAAAGCAAATAATGATTTGATTGGTGAAATAAATGGCTAGAACACTCGCCAACACCACCAGCCGACCAAACCAAGCGAAGCGATCTACGTAGCTGCGTAGCAGTTGTTGCGTTTCATAGAACAGTTCTATTGCGTGGCGTAAAGACTCTAAGTGTTGACGGCATTTTGTGGTGCATTCACTGCTGGCGCCAAACTCGCTTACTTTTTCATACAGAAACTCACACAAAGTCCTTTGGAAAGTCAGAAAACGCAATAGCAGCATAAAATTTGCCACATACAAAAGTTCGTAGAGTGGAAATCCGAAAATGTCGCTCAACAAAAATTTGAATTTCAACGTCGAGGTTATCAAAATCCAAATGAGTATCAGAAATTTCAATGCTAACAAAATTTTTATAAAATTATTAATTGAGGCCTCCTGGGGTGCACTCAGCGCCGAGATATTTGCTTCCATTTTGAAGAGTTCATTGAAGAATTTTTTCAAAAACCTTTGCGTGCCTCCCCGCTCTATTTGGTAGAATATTGTTATGAGCTGCAGAGCGGGCAGGCCAAAGAATAGTGCTAGGAAAGGCGCACTGTATAACTCATAATCCTCCAAGTGTGTGGACAATTGCGCTATGAAAACAAATATTAGCACAGCTGCGCCGAGCGTCTTTGCATAGTAAATCGCCAAAATCACGTAAATTGCGCTATGGAGGTATTTGCGTTTGCGCCGACTACGAGGCTGGATCTCAAGCGCTCTGCTATCTCTGTTGTAATACAAATCGTTGTAGTAGAAAAATCTGGTGAGCTTATAATAAAAGTAAGCTGTTCGTTTGAATAATTTATCCACCATTCGGAATGTGTGATGTTGAATGAGAGTAAGATTTTCCAATGAGACAACTTACTAGACCTCTGGCCTTGGGGCATAAAGACACAAGTAAATAAAACGTAAAAAACGCTTAATTCAATTGCACTAAAATTGTATGCCTTTCACCAACAGTGCAAAACTCTCTTTTTAAGTAATTTTTTTTTTTTATAATTACATTTTTCTGTAGGTATATATTGTAGTTGTCTGTTGCTGGTTTCCGAAAATTATTTAAGCAGGGTTGTATTTTGGCATCTGTTACACCCAACTGTCAAACTAAACATGTTTTGATTTAGTTAAACGTCATGCATTTATGAAAATAAAGCGCTTAAAAAACTTTTTTAAGGAAGGTGATTCAAACGAGGCCACGTGTAGTGCTTTAAGAGGAGCTTTCGGACCACATAATCGTCAACTACTCAAGCAATGAGTAAAATATGAAAGAAATTCGAAGAGACTAGATCAGTTTCAGATATGGCTACACCCGTTCACCATCGCCTAGCTCGCTCCAACTCAAATATCGAAGACCCGAATGTGCCTATTTCTCAATATGCTCAAGACCTGGGACTTTCCAACGTCGCATTATAGCGTTTTTTGGACTGAAACTGACCACTACCTAAAAGTCAAGCTCATACAAAAACTGGAACCAGCTGATCGTCGATTGGCTGTTTGAACAGCAGGCAGTGAACGGCCATTTTTCGAAGTACATTTTTTCAGCGACGAAACACTTTTATCGCCCGAGGAATATATAAATAGGAAAGGTGTCCCATTTTGCGTTTTGAAAATCGGTAACTAACTAAAGTGATGCCATTGCAACTAAAAAAGCTTACTGTTTGGTACGTTATTTAGTTGGGAGGTGTGCTTGCTTCTTACTTATTCTAAAACGACAACGCGGAGACTGTTACTGTCAATCCAGAGCATTGCGGTCGTATGAGGAACGACAATTTTTTTGGCCTGTAATGGTAGAAAACGAATTAGACGACATGTGGTTATAGCAAGATGGCGCCACAAGCCATATAACGAAGGCAAATATGATTTATTGCGGGATAAATTTCTCTCCTCGGGTAATCTCTCGTGTTGGTGATGCTAATTTGCTCACCGACCTGGTCTTTGTTTTTGAAGGGATATGCTGATAAAACTGTAAATCTTGAGCACTTGAAAGTCAACATTCGTCAAGTCATGGCTGAGATACCGCTCAGTAGAGGCCGAAAGTATTCGTAGACTACCACAAGCGCATTAAGGTTTACAAAACTTCCCGAGGCGGTCATTTAAATTATGTAGTTTCATGCAATGTAAGGGTTCAAACCTCAAAATGAAATATGAATTTCATAAAAAAATGGTTTATGCTATAATGGAATGTTCGATATTTGAATATATTAAACAGTTTTCGAAGTAATAATATAATTTCAAACGAAAATACGTTTAGAAAAAGGAACTACTCAGCATTAAGCGAATTTCTCTCTTTCCCATTTTGGCGCTAACCTATTTTTGATCAAAGTTCAAATTTCATTCAACTTCATGCAGGGTATACAACACCAATTAAGTAGAATATTCGACGGTAACAAATTTTTATGTCACACAATTAGTGTGTCGCGCTATTTGATGAAACAAATTAAGAATTTTTTTTGTTGGCTTTCGTTTGATTTCATATTTTACTTCTCGCACTACAAAACTAGCAGAGGTTAAAGAACTTTTGTTGTTATTGTTTAAAACCTTTACGATAAAACGAAATAGTTTTGAAAAAAAAAAAAAACTTTTCATTATTAGATCGATTTGAATAAAACCAATGTCGTTAAAATAAAGTTAAGTTAGCTAGAGTTAACTCCTACAAAAGGAGGTGGCGTAGGTATATTTCTTCAAAAAGAATAAAAAAAAACAATTACACAAAAAATGCAAGAAATCTTTATATAAATCGATAGTACGATTCATATGATTTAATATTTGAAGATTATCTCTAACAAATGTTGACAGTGACTGCGCCTAAAATGGTCCAACCGCAGAGTTCAAATTTCCAATATTTCGGCCGGTATCAGACGAATAAATGCTTCGGTATTGTCCTCCAATGCGTTAATTGAAGTGGGCTTGTCTGCATAGACATTAGATTTAACACAGCTCCACAAAAACTGGTCTAAAGGCGTCAAATCGCACAATCTAGGCGGCCAATTGACCTGTCCCGAACGTGAAATAAAGTGTTCACCGAACTCGTCTCTCAATAAGTCCATTGTTACGCTTGCTGTGTGGCATGTGGCACCTTCTTGTTGAAACCACATGTCATGCGAGTCAAGCTCTTGCATTTCGGGCAAACGAAAGTTTTGATATGATCTCACGGTAATGCTGATCATTCACAGTTACGTTAAAATTCGCATCGTCTTTGAAGAAGTACGGTCCAATAATGCCACCAGCCTATAAACCACACCAAACTGTGACTTTTTCAGCAAACATTGGTAGCTCTTGCAATGCTTTTGGCTGATCTTCACTCCAAAATCGACTATTCTGCTTATTTACGCACCCATTGACTTCAAAGCGCGAGCGGAAGAAGCGCGTGGTTAATAAAATTCAATAATTTGCAAGCGTTGTTCGTTTGTAAGACGATTCATGGCTAAATTTTAGACCAAACTGAAGATGTTTGACAGTGATTCACAACACGAAGCGAACGTCAGCTGTTTAAACAAGTGTTGTCAAAAAGATAGTAGCTGTAAAATCGCTCTTGACCATGTACGACTCCTGCAATAATCAAGAGAATCCTTAACTGTAGATACTTCGCATGGTAAGTAAGAGTAGAGTGCAAATAATTTTTGAATCTCGCGCACATTTAACTATTATTAAGCCATTTTTAATGCACTGCCGTAAGACTCCATATGGTTGGTAAATTCCCAGTCTCTATAATCACAGAGAAAATTCATAATATCTCTTCTTTTCCCTTTAATTTTGTAGCTAATGCAAGGACCTTCTGTGAAGGGCCAGAATTCATCCTAGATTTAAAAACAGATTCTGCTTGCGTTGCTAACTTGTTAACTGTTACAAAAAAAATATTGGTCCAACCAATTTATGAGAGATATAGAGTTGACCTGCCATCGCGCCTAGAGCCTTCTTACAGTTGCTGACTTCTTTACTTACTTAAAAGGCCATCTAATTATCATGGAAGCCTTTCTTTATGCTCTCAATGTTATTATTTAGAGTTCTCCGTGTTTCCGCTTGGAGAATTCTTGCTGAATGCCGTGGAGGTAAAAAAAGAAAATTTTGTAATTTTTGGAATTTAGCCTCAGGCCTGTTCGCAGTGAATAGTTGAGACCTCTCATCTGTAGTTACCACCTGCAGTAATTAGTTTTCGTATATTGAGCCCGAAAGTGGCGAGCAGTTAGTCCCCACTTGTGTCTGTCCTAAACAGGGTGTACGCCATCGTAACTGAAATTCTGGATGAGTCTCGGCAGCCGGGCTGGGTTCACGGCCATGCCTTGCTTTTCGAATGTATTTTGGAACATAAAAAGGCAACTTTTGTTTGTTATACTGACAGGCTATAAATTCCATTCTCTGATATTACATCAGCATCTGCATGAACTCTCATCCTGTGAATTGCGTTTTCGGAAGCCAAGCACAACATTTCGCCGACCAAGAGTTCGAGCCGCCCAGAGATATCCGAGTAATGCGAGAAATACTGGATTCGGATATTTTAGTCAACTTATTTACCACTATTCGAGACTTGACACTGACACACCCAACGTATGTGCTGTAGATAAGAGACCCCGCAGGCTAATCACATCCTTGTATGTCCTAAAACCAACAAAACAAACACGAATTTTCCTATGGTCGAAAGCCATGAAATCAGCGCCTTTCTTGTACCTCCAGTTCTATGAACTAGATGTCTTAGTCTAATCTCGCCTGCTTCTAATCGGCGATACTATAACAACAACATCAATTGATATATTTATATATCAGCTTTAGAGTGTTTTGCCAAGCCAAGGTCAAGGTGAAAAGTTGCTTCTTCTTAGGATTAAATACCTAAAATAGTGTCCGCTTTATATGAAAGCACATAGAATGAGATAAATCTGAATCGTTCTTCTTTCTCCATGCAGTTTTGTTTCGGAAATTTTTTACATCTTTTATACCTCGATCCTGAAACAGTCTGTGCTTTTTACAATTGAGTTCCGGAATCATTTTCGAAGGATTAAAACTTATGTATATGTAAGGCTTCAACTACAAACGCACACTCTCATATTTACTATTTCTAACATTTTTAGAAAAATAGTAAATGAATATGGCAAAATGAGTGGTTGACCAACCGATCGATCAACTGAACGAACACTTAGCGAAATAACACTTCGGTTGACCGCCGAGTGGGTTAGGCGAGGTCACGACTCTACACTACAATTTAACGACTTTGTGAATATTTTATTGAGCATGTAAAATGGCTGTGCTTGTTGCGCTTGTCGCAATTACATACATTATGCGTAATAACAGTTTGTGCTAGTGTTGTTGTGTGTTTATATG